ATTTTTTAGAAAATTGAAATTTTTTATTTATCGTATTTTTTTATTTTTAATGAATCTTGTTAATATTTTAAGTAATTTTTTAAAAATTTTTAGATACACCTAACATAAATAAACTTAAAAAGGATAATATTTGTGAAAAAAAAATTCATTGAATACCAAAAATATAAAAAAAAAATAAGAAAATTTAGTACATTTTTCGTATTCTTGTGTATTTATTAATTTTTTTAAAATATTTTTGTACAGATATTTTATTTTTTAAATACATCTAACTAATGTGCATCTAAAAAAATATAAAAAAATTGTTTAAAATTTTAAAAGTATTTACTAAAAATTAAAAAAAAATGCAAAAAAAAAAACTCAATTTATAAAAATTAAGAAAAAAATTTTTAGATACACCTAACATAAATAAACTTAAAAAGGATAATATTTGTGAAAAAAAAATTCATTGAATACCAAAAATATAAAAAAAAAATAAGAAAATTTAGTACATTTTTCGTATTCTTGTGTATTTATTAATTTTTTTAAAATATTTTTATACAGATATTTTATTTTTTAAATACATCTAACTAATGTGCATCTAAAAAAATATAAAAAATTGTTTAAAATTTTAAAAGTATTTACTAAAAATAAAAAAAAAATGCAAAAGAAAAACTTAATTTATAAAAATTAAGAAAATTAAAACCAAACACAGCGAAATTTTTTTGGGTGAAATATTGCTGTTGCTCTTAAAAATGGAAAGCAAATTATTAAAAATTTTGCACGGAAACTGAAATTACAATACACAAGTATGAAAAGATCAAAATACCCTTGTGGAAAGGAAAGTGACATTTGGTGCATTGCATTAGGATCATCCACAGTCAAACACACATCAATAGCAATTCTAGAATTTTCCCTTTTTGTGGTGAAATGTTGCTGTTGCTCTTACGAATGGAATAAAAAATAAATTTACTATTAACAATTTTGCAAGAAAACTGAAATTACAACTTTCATCCTACGCAAGTGTAAAAAGATCAAAATACCCTTGTGAAAAGGAAAGTATCAATTTGGTGCATTGCATTAAGAGCATCCACAAACACAAAATATAACTTCAATAGGCTCTCTACTCACCTCCTGATTTAAGAGGGATATGTGGCTAAAATAGTGTTTTCAATCCCTCATAATTGAAGAAATTTTTCTTTTACAGAAGATGATAATCAGTGATTAACCTAGCGGTGATGAGCTCATCTTGAAAATCAATATCAAGTGAAAGCTTCCCCAAAATTAATCTCTCCATTGAACAACACTGTAATCACTTAACTCCGAAAAACATTAACTCTGTATTTGGTTGAGGTATTTAGAAATGGATTTGAAAAAAGAAAAGGAAAATGTTTGTAAAATTAGATAAAATATATGTATATTTTATTTACATTTCATCTACATTTTTCCTTTTCGTTTTCAAATCCCTTCTTAAATCCCCCAATTAAACATAATATAAGACTCAACTAAAATAATTTGTATCTATACATATATATCATGGAGCCTTTTTCGGTATTTTAAACTACAGAGAGGTAAATGGATTTTGCACATATTAAGTTAATGTTATTTCCCAGTGGTTGTGTGTATGTGTAAATTAAATATAAAAAATAAAATAAACAACAAAATTAAATTAAATAATCCAGAAAATAATTAAATAAATTAAATTTCAAATTAAATGCTTACAAAAATTATAAGTCGAGATTTGTGTTGAACACAATCTCCTTAAAGTAGATTTTGTCCTTGCTCTGGTGCTTCAAGAATTATTGGCGTCTACTTCTCAAAATGCAACGACTAATATTTGATTTGCAGCACTACAAACTCAAGTTTGGCGAACCAAAACTATGTTGTAACTCTCTCTTTTTCTTCCTAAGATTAAATGCTAGATAGATGCAGAAAACATGAGGACGAAAAGGGAAGAAGAAGGAAGAAGTGTTGAAGAAAATTGGATGTAATGAAATGTTGGAATGGTGGGCTATTTATAGCCAACCATGCACTTGTTCGGGTAGGCCTTGGTGGCTGCTCGAACATGGCTTGAAAGTTGCGCCTGGAACAATACTAGTTCGAAAAGAAGGCGACCTAAAAATTCAGAGATTTGAATTTGAAAATTTGGCGCAAAATTTGAATTATTTTCGTAAGGAAAAAAAAAATTCCCCGCAAGAATTTGAAAAAATTCAAACGAATTTTGTCCAAAAAATTAAAGTTAAGACCCGACTTGACCCACACCTGGTGGTGCACGCGCGCGCATGTGGTGATTTTGGGCCAAGCATAGCTTTTCCATTTACATATAAAATTCTATACAAACTCAGTTTCAATTATACTAATCAATTTTATATAGACTCTATTTGAAAAATACTTATTTTCCATATATATAGTTATAATTTAATTATTATGATATTTAAAAAAAATTATCTCGATATACAAATAAATAAATAAATAAGACAGAATGTGTTTAATTATTTGCATCGCACAGATTAAATTAATTTTATTTATTTATTTATTTATATTTTTAGTTTTTGCCTATGTTATTGATGTCTTAATATTAATTTATATTTAATTTTTATTTTATACAATATGTATTATAGCGATTCCGGTCTTAACTTGACCCTTTTGTATCTTGGACTCGGGTTTCGTGATTTCGAGAGATTTGAGTTGTACGGGAAAGAAATACGCCTTCTCGTATAATCCTGTTGACCAAGTCCACGCTCCTCCGTACGACGTCGCTTTGTCACCTGAAAACACAAACGTGAGCTAGCCGGCGGGTGTGTGCCGGAAACCTCTCCGATGCCTAAGTCAGTAAGCTTGACAAATAGACAAAGCTCTAAGTTCTCAGAAAGATTGTGTTCAATTACCTCCTCCAAGGTGTTGCTTGTGAGCTTTTATAAGTTTCGTATGGCACAATCCTAGTAGGACTTGTACTTCTCCATGCAGAGTCCTCCTAGGATTCATTCTCCTGAGGATAATGCTTATCCTTTTACACCCTCCCCCACTGCTCAAACCAAGTGGGATGGTTTTCTTTATGGCCGAACTTCCTTTTGACCGGAGTAAACTTGGCTATACCGAGCCACAGAAGGCCGAACTATCCTTAGCTCGGTCTTCTCCTCCAACTCTTTACTTCGGCTGCCCTGTTCGACCTTGATGCGCTTAGATCAAACTTCCAAGTAACAAGTTCTGACCGACCTAACCAATGTAAGTCACGACCGGACTAACTCTGAGACCGGCCTAACTGTGAGTTGCCTCCAGACCGGAGTAATTTTACTCTTCCTTGGGCCGAAGTAACTATCTCTTCTTGAGCCGGAGTAATTTTGCCTCCTTGGGCCGAAGTAGCTTTGTCTTCCCAAGGCCGGAGTAACTTTGCCCTTCTGGGCCGGAGTATTCAGTACGGCCTTTTTACGCAGTCCTACGCGTTTTGGGCCTTAATGCCCAACTCTCAGCTCGGCCCAATTTTTCCCAAAAATTACCCTCTCATGTATACATAGATATATACAAAAATAATTCAATTAAAATTATTATATATTTAATTATGCTATGTTTTATATCATGATAAATTAGTGTTATTCTTTTGCAATGCATACATTGCAACATATTTTTAAAAATAATTTATATATAGACATATATAAATAATTTAATTTAATTTAATTTTATAAAACATTATTTAGAAGAAAAAAAAAATAACCCGTGCATCGCACATGTCAATTACTAGTTGTGTATCCTAAATCCAACTCTATATGCAGTTCTTTAAGAGCTGGGTACCCAAGAAAGAGACTTTGGAATGAGTCCTCGTTCTCACACACAGCCGAATCTAAATGAAGAATCTTCAGACTTGGAAGCCAAACAGAGACAAAGATTGTTTTAGCCCGGTCGATACAATGTCCTTCTCTTAGGATTGTTTCAAATAGAAATAGAGAACGAAGGAACTAAAAAGCGAGAGATTGTTAGAATCACTTTCTTCTAGAGAAATCTAGAAAGTTAGTCATTTTAAATGTATTACAAATAAAAAATAAAATGGCTAGCATATATATTAGATGTTATGTGTAGCATTTTTTTTTATTTTTTTGTTATCTTGTTCATCTATACTATACATTAAGTAAACAGGAGTTTTTAACCCCAAGGCCTATGAGAGTTTCAATATCTCAATTTGAATTTTCTAAATTTTTTATTAAAAAAAAAAAAACTCAACATTTATTGATTTGGTCAAAATTCCTGATCAGCATTTAAAATTCCCTCATACAAATAATTATAGATACAATCCGTATACTGCAGTACCCTTTTCAACTTCTCCAATACACTATGTTTAGTGAGAAGATTGTTAAATTATTTTTATAAAAAATCTTAAAAAACATAATTTATATATTAAAAAAAATCTAAAACAAATATAAATATCTATAATTATCTCGTGCATAGCACGGGTGATAGGCTAGTACCATTGAAGCAGGAACCTCTAGGAAAATTCCCACAACCAATTTCAGAACAACTAGTGTTATCAACGGCTTGATGCTAATCTTTCTCAAAGGGTACAAAAGATAATCCAGCCATGCAGATATAAACAGCATTGGTGTTGTTTGGTGTAGTTGTTAAAACAGATTATAGATTATAATTTAACAGATTATAGATTATGATTTTAATCAGAAGCTGTTAATCTGTTTGGTATAGCTGTTGGATTATAAATTTAAGTTGCTGAGTAGTATTTGTTAAATAAGCTGTGAAGTGACTTTTTCAATTAATTTTTATTTTTTATTATTCACTATTTGTCTACATTTCTCATAAAAAATAATAATAATATTTATAGTCCATTTGGGTCTTTTTCTATTTTTAAAAAAATAAAAAATAAAAAAATTTAAGAGTATAACCGTGAATTAACATGTCCACAGCAGAAACTGATAATCAAAAATAAGGAGTGAGCAGCTTCTCAGAATCAACTTTTTTGACTTAAAATAAGTTGTTAGAATCAGAAGCTGTTTGAAATAAGTTTAACCAACAGTTCAAAATAACTCTTTAAAAGCCAGAAGCTATAAATTGGCTCAAAAAAACCCCATCAAACACCTCCATTATAACTTTCGAATAAAAGCCATGCAAGCACTTTGCACAGCATTATAGCTTTCTAATGACGAACCAGTCTAACCATACAACAAAAGTGGACCCAATTTGTGAACATTGTATCATAGACTATCCCTAGTGAGTAGTGAATTTTAACTGAGGGGAATACATGCTAGCTAAATATTTACGGTTACCTGTCAACTGAAAATGCTAACCAGATTCCAGTATGATACAAGAGCAACCACCAGAAGATGCAGATGAGGTAGGCTTTCAGTTACATGCCCCACACACCACGAGCTGGTGCCACTTTGTTGCTCGGTCGAGAGGTCAATTCATATAGTATCCTTGCAAATGTGTCGGAATATCTTCCGTCCGAGAAAAGTATCTCTGCAAAGGCATTCTCATAAGTTAGAAGCAGAACCCTGTTCTGTGGCTCTGAGACGAGATTCTCCAATATTATTGCTGCTTTCCTGCAAACTTCTGGCACCGGATGTGGGGTCTTAATCACTTTCAGCAGCCGATCAATTGCCCTGAAATTCAGTATACAGTCAATATTTCTGCCACAGAATAATTTTCTGAATAGGTTACTCTATACATTTTTTGTGCTAACAACGTTGAAAGAACAATCTAACCATCTCTCACTAGCAAGCTTCAAACGGCAGTCCGTGTTGACTTCTGCAAGGTTATAAAGTGCACCAACAGCAGCTGCTTGTGCATCTACAGCTGGAAAGTTCAAAAGTTCAACTAAACGCTTATAAATCTGCAAGGTAAATCAAAACTGCAGGGCATCAGTGCACACTCATGATATAAACTAGACTAGCCTTTTATTTAACAACGGAGTATACGAGACATAATATCAAACCTGTGGACCAAAAGGAATAATGAAAGGTCCATTGTCAGGATTTATTATCAAACGCCCAAGTAACTCTGCAGCTGCACAATGCCAGGCTTTGACAGAAGATCCCAGCATCCCCATGATGGCTTGGGCTGCACGTTTCTCCCTGGTTTGGTGAGAGCCAATGAGGAAAATTTCAATTCAGAAGCTCATTTTTTTCTTCTTCTTTAGATAGGCAGTTCAGATGTTGGAAACCATACTAGGGAAGTCAAAATGCATTCTTACGTTATTTTGATGAATGAGGGCTTTGATGAACTAAAGATTCGAAGATCCAGGAGTGGAGCCAAATTTACAACTGTCTCAAGTGCATTTGTGACCAATTCCTCATCCTCTGCAAATATTGAGAGTTTTGAGAAGCACTTCAAACTTGGAAATAAACACAAACACTTTAGGAAAATATTGTACCATTCATTTTACAATACATCAAACTAAAAGGACATTACCTAGTGTTGGTCCCCGTTAATCAAGGATTCTGGGAGGGGTAAGACTGTCTTGTCTCTACCTAACCTTTGGCATTATTTAAATGACTGCTCCCAGTCCAGGACATGGCAAACTATTCTACAAAAATCAACTGTGTTATAATTTATGAAAATTACACTATAAGATGGTCTATCCCTTAAAAGTTTAAAAAGTCAGTGAAACTCTTTCGTTGAGTATCCCATCGATTTCGAATGAAATCTGAGGTGCTGTCACATGATGATCAGTGTATTCATTTGTCACCTACGATTTTATTTACTTAATTAAATTTTTTTTTAACACTCTAAATTGTTGGTCTGAGCCACTTTTTATCAAAATTTGAACACCCAGCCCAATTTTTCTGTAGTAGGGTTGATGACAATCAACTTACAAAATTTTAGAACAAAAAGGAATTAGTGACCTTTCTAGATAGTTGGTAGAGATAAAGAAGAATCTCATAAAATTAGCATTGATTCTACTAGTCGCAGCTACAATGGAATAAAGAGCTTTTTCGGCCATGAAAATCAGAAAAACTAGCTTAACCGAATGGAAGATCAGTGGATAAATAATTGTTTGGTTACATATATTGACAAGAATATATTTGATAGTAAATGTCATGTGAGAAGATTTATTAAAGCACCACACCAAAAAAGAAAAGAAAAGACAGATACTGATTATTGCGACTAAAATTATCACCTGTAATGTGGTTTTCAATGCACTGAAAGGCTGTTTCCAAGCAATGACGATGTTGGGCCATTATGACTTCATTTTCTGGCATGAAAGAGAAATTGCGAATTATATTTGAAGCAGCAACTACACATTGTTGCCTTTCTGCACGGCCTTCGTCATCCAGATTAAACAGGATATCTGCATCTAAGCACCATTCTGAAGGATCAGTTTTGGTCATACCATTCCGCCCAGATGCTTCTGTACCCGAGGAACCAGATCCCATGCTGCCATCAGAAGATCATCCCAAATTCAGGTTCCAACTCCCTATTGAAAATTTTATGTATGCAAACTTCACAATTTACTTAAAAGGAGCCAATAATACTGTTGAACTCACCTAGGATTAGGAACATCATTTGAGTTTAACGCCTTGTATTCATTCCCAAACCCTGTCACAACAGAGTTTGCACCTAACAATGTCACCCATGGAGTCCTTATAAGCCCCCTTGGTTGGGTTATATCACGCCAATCATCTATCTGTTCCAGTTATAAATAACATTATACTAATATAGACTGTGGAACACAATGTGGAAAAAAATCTTTAAATGTTTCAAAAGTGCATAGAAAAAATTGACACATACAACTTGAAGAAGAGCATCAAGCAACCCAGGTATTTTTGCAAGAGGGGTTGCATCTTTGCGCACTTCATCCTTTTCTTTGAATGAAAGCAATGTGAGAGTATTCAATGCCCATGTCAGCTCACTCTTTAATCCACTTTGTAGAGACAGAACTATCCTTTTGTTATTTTGGTCTGGATAACAGAAACACACACAAAAAGAGAGAGTCAAAAATTGCCTTAACCATCTACTGAGCAACGTAAATAGAAATGCCTCACTGTTAACAAAACATCAGGCAGGAATCAACTTGCCAAGCAGGATCATCTATCACCAGCATTACGCATAAGCATGTGCTGGTTACCAAGCAATACTAAGCAACTGAAATAAAAAAGCACCTAGTGCCCAACAAACGCTTACTATTAAATATGTCAGTTCTACTGTACTTTCTCTTGATGAACACAAGGTAAATTTATAGCAGGTCAATAACCACATCTAAATTGCCCAAACTGGAGGTGCTATTATAGACTATATAATACCATCGGAATATTGTAATTAGACATCATTATGGTATATCATTTGTATAGTTCAATTAAATAACAGCTAAGCTATTTCAATGATCCAACATAACCTAAGAGAAGTTGATCAAAAAAAAAAAGCATAACCTAAGAGAAGGAAACAAAAAAAATCCTACCACCTCACCTTGTCAACATCTCAATTCTCAAGTAAGTTATAAAGGGATCCCAGCCATAGGCTTTGAAGCAAAATGATGTGCATAATCACAAGTACACTTGTGCACATTCATGGGGAAATAAAAAATCATGGTGAACCACTCTTGCCTCTATAACCACATTTGTTATTATTATTATTATTATTTTTTTAATGTACAAAACCAAAGAGACTAAAAAGCGAGACAATTGGTAAAGTTTTCTAGTCATTTTAAGAAATTGACAACAATGCACACTTCAACGTTAGTCATATGGCATAAGCTAAAAACAGTACAGACACTTTTGCGAAGGCTACCAGCACTTCGCAGAAGCCCCTAAACAAATGTCTAAGACTTTGCAAAACTTGGCCTACACATCTTCAAATACTCTCCAATAGATGACCTATAGCACAAACATAGCCTAACAAAAGCATCATCTAACAATTCTTGGAAACTTAATATTAAGACAATTAAGCATCATACTCATGGTCACCACAAGTTAAGCAGGCAATAGACAACAAAAACATATTGTTTAATAAAATATATGTAAGAAATTAGTATAGGAGTATAAATAACTAGTTCAAATAAATAAGTTTGTCAAGCTTCAGCTTCCACATTATGCCATTTTTTCCTTCTTTTCTTTTTAATACATGCAATAATGTCATAAAACATACAAAATTGAATTTACATTTTAGTGTATAGATTAAATATAGGGCAAACTTCACTTTACTCCCCTCTGGTTTGAGATATGTGCGGTTTACCCCCCTAACGTTTGTAAATGAACACAACCCCCAAGTGATTTGTGGACTGAAGTGCACCGTTAAACATTCCTTTTAACAGCAAGCTATGAAGCATGGACACTCCAAAATCAGTGTTGTGGCGGTGTTCGACATAGGGACATGCCGGGGACATGTAGATGGCATATCCGTTTAATTTAATAATTTTTTTTGTAGGGGACACGTGTGTCTATATGGGACACGGCATGGGATACGGCGGGGCTATTTTTTTTTTCTTTTCTTTTCTTTTCTTTTGCCTCTCTTATTTAGTGCTTTTGTAAAGAATACTGTTAGATATTAAATGTTTTCCCTTTCTCGTCTTAATTCTTGTTACATTTATTATGACTTTTTTGTGAATGGATGATTTATTAATTTATTTAAATGTAGTGGTTATATTTATTGAATTAATGTTACTATATTAGTGTTTATTAATTTTGATTTAGGATGAATGTAATATGAATCTACATAACACATAAAAATATACAAAAATAAATAAAATAAAATTCACCGTGTCCCCCGCCGTGTCCATGTCTGTGTCCCCATTTTTTGAAAATTGTCGTGTCCCGTGTCCGTGTCTGTGTCCGTGCTTCATAGACAGTAAGTGTGAAACACATGACTGACATAAGGAGGTTATATGCTCATTTCAAATTTCATTGGGATAAATCGCACATGGAATAGAGCGCAGGGGGTTAAAGTGCACTTTACCTTCCAAACAAATTACGAAGTATATATTTTAGCCTTTTTCATTATGTGATCATTTCCACAACCTACAAGGAGTTATGTGATCATTTCCAAATGTGGGGTAAACCCTACATGGCCAAAACCACATGGGTAAAGTGAAGTTTGCCCTTAAGTATACATGCAATTCTGTCTATGCTACTTACGGCATAGCTATAACTCATTTCTATTTCAAAGATTCTAAGACTTGCTACCAGAACAAACACTCTATAATAAGAAACTCAAAACCCCAAAATCCAAAAACATATAATTAAACAAATTAGAGAAGAACAACTCAAATCAAAACCTATCCCACAATTCTAATATGCTAAGTGCTGAGTACTCCAACTTTTTGTGTATTCCATGGTTTTTTCCCCATCTACATGTAATTGTTGACGCATGTTCTTCACAAACACAAGGCATACATTGGTTCCCAAGTTCACAATTTCACCTTAACATATAGACCACACACACGTCTATTAAAAATGTCTCAATGCATATGCGAATTCAATCATTTCTTGCGATATTCAAAAATCTAGGGTTTTGATGGACTGACCAGCGAAGGTGGAGTGAACTTGAAGAGAGGGACCGAGGAGAGTTGAAGGAGCCGGAGCGTCGGGTGAAGCGGCGGAGTTGGTGGCTCCGCTGCCCAGGGGGCGGCCTCTCTTCGCCGCCGGAGTGGCGGCCCCGCCGGATGCTCCACCGTGCTTGCCCTGCTCTCTCTTCTGCATTTCTTCTCACTCTTCTTCGCTCTCTGGCGATTTGGTTGGCAGTGACGTAAAGGCCCAAAGGGTAGAAGATCGGCCCAATATTTATCATAATCCAAAGATTCAACTGGATGAGCCCATGTTTAGTCCAACTTGTTTGGGCTTCAAATTTTGACCATCTTGGCCCCATGACTCAAGTAAACATCAATCCGAGTATATTTAGATTAATTATGCAATACTCCTTCAATTATCAATGAATAATACTTTAGCTTTCTTCACCACAAAAGTATACATTTCAACCCGTCAGATATAAAATTAAAAAAAAAAATTATACATATTTGGGGGATAGCAAATCACACAAAAACATTTTTGGGCCTGACCCAACTAATGAAGCTCAAAACAAAATAATTAAGTCAAGATTACTACCACTGGAGTTCTATAAAATACCATCTAATCTGTTAAAATCACATTCGCGAATTAAACTTTAAAATTATAATCTGCCTTCGAAATCGTTCCTCTTTGCTATAGTTAATACATATATGTTTTTTAATCCCTAATGAAAATATCAAAGAAAAATAAGTGTAAGAAAGATTTAAAATGTAAAATTTATTACAAATTAGTAATTATATACATAAAACATATAATGTAAAATTAGTTTGTATGATATATATGAAAACTATTATACAAATTAATATTATATATTATACAAATATTTGATAATTGATTAGAATATTATTTATTTACAAATCCACCCAAAATCACGATTTGCCAATCCACGATTCAATTTATAATTTTATTTTTAAACTATTTGAACCGCACCCGCACACCCTAACTACCTCCATAAAATGAGAAGCACTCATTTAAAGAAGGTATGCCTTATATTTACACACAACACTGCACTGTTCATTGTCTTACAAATATTATAGTTTTTAAGCGTATCTAAATTAGATATATCTACAAAATAAATAAATAAAAATTGTATAAAATAATTTTTTAAAAAAATACTAAAAAACACATAATTGGGCCATAAAGAGAAAAAAAAATAGGCCACTTAAAATTAGGCTAACGACTAATACATATACATATATTTTATATTTTATTTTTTAAATTGGACTAACAACTAAAACTTATAAATATTTTTCAATTAAGCCTTTTATCAATTGGGCCAAATAGATTTGTTGAGGCGTCCTTTAAAATGGCCTAAATTAATTAAACAGAATTGGGCCATCTTAAAATTTTAATATAATACAAAACTAAATTTTGGGGCCCTTTTTTGGGCCTAATTTTTTGGGCCCTAGGCACAGGCCTTACCAGCCTTAGCCCAGGGCCGGCCCTGACCCTAACTACCTCCATAAAATGAGAAGCACTCATTTAAAGAAGGTATGCCTTATATTTACACACAACACTGCACTGTTCATTGTCTTACTCAAGAGAAGCATCTCTAACTTTATTATCAAAGCGTCGTCCAGCCAAAATCTACCATTTGAAGCTCTTCATAGTTCAGATTGATTTGGTTTAACCCTAAATCAAGACCAATTCATTACCTATGTCTTCATTAAATTTGGAATCAAATCAATCTATGAAAATCTTGAAATTAATCCAAACCGAACCATTAAACCACGATTCAGTTTAGTTTGGAATTATAAATTTTAAAAATATTATCATTATTCACAATATGATTACAAAATATTATTCACAACCTAAGAATTATTTACAAGATTGCTTAAAATTAGTCTATACAAAAATATACTTATAATAGTAGAGAGTTATAATTTATATTTATGATTCTAATTAAACAGTTTAGGGCTAGTTTGGCATGTATTAAATAAGCCAAAAAGTCAAAAAGTCACTATCTTATTTAAGTCACATCATCTTATTTAAATCACATCATCTCTCTAACACATCACATCAAATCCAACCCAAACCCAACCCAAACCCACCAATAAGTCAAAAAGTACACTTTTTTAGGACATCCCAAACCAACCCTTAGTATTTTCATTCGGTAACAAATTACATATATAATCTAAACAGTCTGATTTGGTTTAACATAGATTTGTAATTATAAAACTACGGACCATACTGTGAAGTGCGGTTCGCCTATTTCAAAAATCAGAACCGAGCACCGTGCATTGAGAAAATCAAACCAAACCATGTTTTGGTTTGAGCCAGACTAGTTTACAATTTTTTCAATCTTTATACTCAACTCTACATAGATCTATGCATATAGGTCATGTTTGTTTGGCTTCAATAGAGAGGGGATTGGATTACCAATAATTTGGGCTCTACATAGTCTATGTTTGGTTGACAAAAATAAAAAGGGAATGAGTAGTTCATGAGACTATGAATACCCTCACATAGTGAGATTAGTTTTCCCATAAGATGGGTGAGATTGATACAAGCCCGGCCCTGAGATTTACGCGGCCCAAAGTCGATAATCAACTAATAAATATCACTAGATCATTTGGGGCCCACCACATATTTTTTTTGCATTCAATGAAATTTTTTGTTGAGGGTAAACGACAAAAGATTTGTATCAAAATCACAAAAAAATGTTTAGCATTACATTACAACAACTAATAAATATCACTTAATCCTCGCTCTTGTTGCATTTTTAGAAGCAAATGAATCAATATTATAATAGCAATTGAGCAAAAGACATAACAAATATTTAATTTATTGAATGAAAAAAAAGCTACCTATGTTGTGCTGCTTGTATAAATTCTTGAGAAATTCGTTAGTACTTTATTGTGTCGCTTCTCTTAAAATTTTGGAAAAACTAAATTAAGAATGGGGCACTTACCAATAAGTCCCATACATAAAGTTCAAACTCCATCTAATTCTAAAACAAAATACTTGCACCAATTAATCCTACATATTTTTAATTGTTACCAAAAACTCTTTTTTTTATTTTTTTATTTTTTTTATAACTTTAAAAATGCTGCTACATCCAACGACTTCCTTCAGACTCATTGAAGACTCGCTGGAATATTCAACATCACCGGGAAGTTGCTGGAGCATTGCTGAAAGTTCGCCGGAGTGTTTTGAGTATCGACGGAAGTTCGCTAGAGTGTTCTGAATGTTACTGGAAAATGTCAAGAACATCATCGGTGACTCACTGGAATATTCAGAATATTGTCAGAAAAAGAAAATAAACGAAAAAATTATAGTTAAAAAACATGACATCAACAAACAACAATGGAAAAAAGTATATATTATTTTTCAATTTTTGTAGGGTTTAAGCAAATAATCTGTAATATTGATCAAACTGAAAAGTAAACTTTAAAACTGTAAAATGTTACAGCTTCAAAGCATTATTCTATTAAGTTGGAAAACATGTTATGAAATTACAAAATTTTACAGTTCTAAAGAATGTTATCAAACTACAAAATTTTACAGTTTTAAAGTATGATTCATTTCAGCACCAAAAAAGCTAAAACAGTAAAATTTTACAATTTTCACCGCCTGTAACTAAAACTTAAAAGTAACTTATTCAGAACTTGAAAATTTTCTCCATTAAAACTGAAAAATAGACGTGTGTAACATAGGAAAAGGAAGAAAAATTGAGAAATCAAAGAAAGAATAGATATAGAAAAAATATTGTACTGCGGCAACTATTTTTGGTTTAAATTTAGTCAGATCTCATGTAGATCTACTCAGATCTCAGATCTGTAGATCTGAGTAGATCTACATCAAATTTAAGTGATGATGAAGTCATGAGTTGATGTCGGTGGTTGGTGGTTGCCAATGAACTCCAATCAGTGGTGATTGTTGGTCACCGGTGACTATATATTAAAAAGAGAAAGAGAATAAGGAAGGTGTGATCACAGGTTGTCGGACATGACAAAGAGAAGAAGAGGAAAACATAGAAAAAAGAGAGAGAGAAAAACGTAAAGAATGAGACAAAAAGCAGAGAGAGAGGGGAAAACGTGTAGGACTTTTGGGTCTACTCAAAAAATTGTTAGATTAAATAGTGTACACATATTTTAAACATGACCTACCAGTAATTTCCCCATTAAGAATTAAGGTTAGAAATTAAATAGGGAGAGAGACTGGCCTTATAATTTTTTAATGGGTCAATTTATTTTAAGCTAGTTTGGACATTCTTTAATTTTTTTTTAGACTTAAAACATACATAATATATTATACTAAACTATAATAGGAGAGGGCCTTTTTTTAGATCTATTTTGAGAGATCCTAAATCATGGCATGGTGGGCCAATGTCCTGAGCTGGCCCTCTATTGGTAATCCAATCTCATGAGAGTAGGTGTCAAAAGACAATTTTGTTATTACATTACAAAGCAACAAAGTTAATTATTATACGATGAGAGTGTTTACGTAATTTTGTAGATTTGATCCTAACAGATTAATAGTACAACATTAGTATACAAACAAACACTCTTTATTATACACTTCTAAACTAATATCATCATATTAATAATCTTCTCACTTAATCTTATCGTACTCATAATCCTATCTAATTTAATCTGCCAAATAAACGAGGCCAAGTCTCACAATTTCCTTCTAGTGGATTGAAAATGATATAATTTTATAATTTAAGAAATCAAATAGTTGAGAGGCTTAAGCCATATTCAGTAATAAATATAGAGATTATTTTTTCTAAAACTGCCCAATTACTCCAAGTTATTTACAGTAAGGTCAATTTTTAATAGTACATTTAATTTTACCTAATATATATATATATATATATTCAAATTTTAATAAATTAAAAAATAATAATAATAATGTGAAGCCGCCAGAAATTATTGCATACCCACGTTAATTATGTGAGCAGCCCATGACCCTTATCTTATCTTCTTTCGTAACTACAGATGCACATACAATATTAAATAAATCCTATAATTTATCACGTGGCCGTCTGTTTATTTTATAACATAAAAATGGGTGGTCATATATATATTATTTAAAAAAGAAATGTTAAAAATAATTTAAAAAATTATTATTAGTATTGAAAAAATATGTAAAATATATATTGAAATTTGTAAATATATATATATATATATATTGAAATATGTAAAATGTGTATTGAAATTATAAATATTTTAACATTATATGA